ATTTAACAAAAATACAAATAAAAACATTTTCAAACAGATTTATTTTATAAGATAATAATTGTTATTCAAAACAATACTCATCCACTTATTACTGTTTATTGTATTTCACATTAATTTCAATTAGTGTTCAATACTTTTTAAATGTTTCATTGATTAAAATACGAGAGTTAGTTAAGTTTTAATACCGATTATTATTAATGTTATATTGTTTAGTTATATAAAGTTAAACATACGCAAATTAATTGTCCCATCTTTTGTTTAATAAAACAATTATTTGCGAATTGTATACAAGAATATTCTTATTTCAAATAAAAGCAAACTTTAATATAAATATCTGTTAATTGATTCAAACATTAATAATCAGCTTAATATCCAGGATAACATTACATTTGTAAACTTAAAGCATCAAATATTAAGCTTAGCTTTAAATATCAAATATTAAATATCAAAAAATAATTTTAAAACTTATTAACTGATAATTTATTAGAAAGTTGTGTTTTTTAGAGAAATAGTCATAAATTAGGAAAAGCACAACATTTTATAATGAGTCTAATATTAAAATCATTGGTTTATTAAGTTTCGACATTAGATCAAATAAATATTCCAGTGGTATAGGTATTGAATAGAAGAGGGTATATAAGACGGGCTGTTTGCCACGATTTGATGCCATTTATTATTTGTCAGCTCTCAGCCAACATCTAATTGATTGATTGTTTTTATTCAGTTTTTTAGTTGAAATTTTAATTGTATTTTTAGTTTATATCATTCAAAACTCAATGGCTTTCTGGGACACCGAGCCGGCCGACCCGTGCGCCTCAAAGGCTAACACTAGTCTTAAAGATGCGTTGAATACGAGCAATGCTTTCAATGGATTAGTTGTGCCGACCTCTGGATGGCAACTGGAAATCATGAAAATGCCGTTCACCACAAAGTTAGAGGACATTCAGAACATATTTGCCAAATACGGAACCATCGATAAAATAGGCCTTATTTTCAGTGAGTATTGTCTTGACTTTTGTTTATGAATTTAATACAATATATTTCTCGCACAGAACTCAAGGATTCTTCGGTCAATTGTTACGTGAGTTATGAGAAGGAAAGCGTTGCGGCGGAAGCGTTGAAAGAAGACGGCAAGGCTTTGGGCGCCGACAGTATATCTGTGTTTAAATTTATTGATCAAAACGGAGACAAAGGCAACAAAAGGTTGCGCACCGAAGAGACCACTGCCAGCGGTGGTGACGAATGGGGCGCTTCCACCACAACCAACAGCGGAGGCGGTGGTGGCGGAGATTGGGGCTCATCTTCCGGTGGCGGAGGCGGTGGCGGCGGTTGGGGCTCGAGTTCAGGCGGTGATAGCGCCCCGCGTGGCAGAGGTCGCGGAAGAGGTGGCGGCGGCGGCGGAGGCGGGCGTTCGTGTTTCAATTGTGGAGAAGAGGGTCATATGTCCCGCGAGTGTCCGCAACCGAGAAAAGGCGGCGGAGGAGGCGGTGGTTCGCGCGCGTGCTTTCGGTGCGGAGAAGAGGGACACATGTCTCGCGAGTGTCCGAAAGGAGGCGGCAGAGGGTGTTTCAATTGCGGAGAAGAGGGCCATATGTCCCGCGAGTGCCCCAAACCTAGAGCCCAGAGAG